CATATAGCATATAGCTTATGCTCTAATAAATTTGTTAGTCTCTAAGGTGCCACAAGTACTCCTGTTCTTCTTTTTGCGGATACAGACTAACACGGCTGCTACTCTGAAAACTGTTATTAACATTAACCTTTACTAGGTTTCCATGGGTATCCACTTCATACATGGCCATGGTAAACCCTATTCCACTTTAAAACTTACTTGTTATAACAATACTGGTGATAGGAAATTGGAAGCAATGTGTAGTATGTCAATCTGCATGTCAACAACCAAAATGCTATTCCAGCTGATGTCTCCTTCAGAATAGGATGGATTCCTGAGCTCTGGGAACAAACTGGAAATGATACTGTAATTTTCTTTGTCTTTTGCCAGCCAGAAATTTGCAAATCTTCACCTACATTTAGCTACCATAGTTCTGAGTAAATAGTGGACCTGAAATGGCAGGGCAGACACCACAAAGGCCCTAGGGTAAGTTAAAAGACAGAGTTTACAAAAAAAACCTAGTTTTGTGACAAATGTCTTTCCCTTCTTCTCAAGTTTCTGTCTGTATCTATGGGCTGGAAGTGGGCAAATGGAATATTTTTTCCTCCCACAAACTTCACTTGTTGAGGCTTAGAAATTAGGACTACATTCTATCCACAAAGTTCTTTACTAGGAAGATAAATGGAAGTTCAGGTAGACTTTCCCTTCTCCATAAGGTTCTATGAAATGACTACCAACCCAACAAGTTAAGCATAACTGTACTCCTTTCCTTGCTCCCATAGGCAATCAGTGAGGTTCTTTAATTAACCACAGGGATTGCTGTTGAAAGACACCCAACCATTCTCCTTGTTCACCTGCCCTGCCTGAGCTAAGCATGCTGCTTTAGTAGCCCTTCAGCATGGAGAGCACAAGACAGGTCTTCCTCATTGCAATGCAAAGTAGTATTGTTAGGCCAAAGGGAAAGCCTGTTCAATGGGAGTTTCACTGTAACTCAGATTTAGCCATTTTCTTTCATAAATCTGCTCTTAGTGTATAACTATTACAGCAGTGCCCTGTGGTATAAATTTCTGTGATAAAGATTTCTTCTTTTTCCACCACCACTATTATAGAAAGTTCAGAAAAGAACAAAGTAATCTGCGACAGAGATGCTATGATTGGAAGGTAAACTTCCAACTTCTAGTGATGTTGATTTCCTTTGAGACTCTACTTTTACACTTACACACAACTCTTATTTACAGCAACTTTTAAATAGCCCCATACACAAGTATTGTGTCTCCTATTGCAATTTACATGTGTGGTAATGGTTTTATTCAGACACTTGAATTAAAAGGACTTATATGACAATTTGAAAAAAAAAAAGCCTACAATTACCATGTTTACAGTTTTTGCGGAGAGCCTGTGGACATCTGAATTACTATAGCAGTTTTTGGGTTTTTTTTTTTACTGCTAGGTTAACATTTTGCCATACTACCTCACACGCTAAACCACTTGAGCTAGCCTGTGCATATTAGCATATCCAGTCTTATGAATTTAGTCCCGGTGAAAAACCCCATTGTGACACTACTGGAGACTGATGTCCTCTATGGAAAAGGAATAGCATGGACAATGCAATAGTCTCCTTGTTGCCCTGTCAATGTGACCCATCCCCCTAGGCTAAATATGCCACCTGGAGGGGGTCAAAAGTTAGGTTAAGGGTAACATTTTCAAAAGTGCCATAGTGACTTAGGAGCATATGTCCCATTGGAAGTCATGAGACTTAGGCCCAGATCCTTAAAAGTATTTAGGTATTGCTCCACGCAGCATTTGAATACCTAAACCCTAAGCAGCCAGCCACTCAGGCTCCCTGTACAGTGCATGGGGAGAGTTAGGCACCTAAGGAAGAGATTTTTCAGAAGCCAGTCAGCTGCCCAGGGAGTTGCCTAGGTTAGCCAGGAGTGAAATGCTAAGGAGAGGGGTGGGGCTTAGGCACCTAAGTGGCTGACCTGTTGCATGTGGCCTAGAGATAGATGCCTCCCTCCGCTCAGGATCCTCAGCCATGAGCCCTCTCCTGGAGTTAGGCACCGGAGTCAGATCAGCCACTTAGGTAGGCCATGTCCTACCAACCAAAATAGCGTCTCTCTCCCCTGTTCTCGCTTGATACCTTTCTCTCACACATTCTACATTTCCCTGTGCCCCCATGTGTCTTTTGTATGGGCACTCTGTTGTCCTTCCACCTATTGGTGACCTGCCTTCAGCTGTGGGGTCTAACAGGTATCAGGTCTTAAGACATGTTCAGAGCATGCCTACCAGATCAGGCCTCACTAGTGAGATAGGCATCCCCCCATCTAATCTCACTTTGGGGCTTTGGCTTGATATGGATCTCTGAGCAGCTCATTAACTGTGGAGTAGCTTTGCAAATGTTGACCAGTGGAAACTAAGGCAGCTAGGAGACTTGGGCATCTATGGGGTTAGGTGGCAGCTCAGTGGCAACTTTGAAAGTGTCAGTGGTGCCTAAATGGTGGACTTAGGCACCTAGGTACCTTTAAGGATTTGGGCTGTAAGTCATTTACATGCTTTTGAAATTTCCCTCTAATGTCCATTCAGTCCTTAGTCTCTTCACTGATTTTGCCAACAACGTTGCAAGTTTGTCATGATGGAGTTTATGTTGTGTGTGTGTGTGTGATAGAAAGGGAGAGTGATGTGGAAACCCATTCATTAGAAACTAGACTGAGACTACCAATTCATTTCACACAGGCCACTAAACAGCCATAATATAATAGTAATTTACCTTTGGCCACTACTGACCTATACTGCATTCAGAACACCGATGTAAAAATTAATAGCACTGTAACCCTGTATTACTAGTATTTTGAGCCATCCAGTCCCCTCATGGGAGCAGACTAAAATGATGGTGAACAGGTGCTATCAAAACACAAATTGTAAAGCTGATGGAATGCACTTAGCTTTGAAAGTTAAATACAGTGGTTGAGAATTACCCAACATCTGATCTTTAAAAGCAGCTGCCCTTCTAGTTAAGTGTGTATCACACTCATGTGCTTGTATTTTAAAAATATGGGCCACATTCCATTGAAGTCAATGGAAGTGTGCCCATTTACATCAGCAGAGAATTTGCCCCTCTATTCTTGCTATGTTTATTGGGGAGGGGGAGCAAGCATTTCCTTAAAAACATTTGCTCATTAAAAATATGCTCAATACCTTCACAAAGAGAGTCTGCTAAAAGCAGTGTTATAATATAAATGGTTATAATGAATATGGCTGTCATATAATTTAGGACCCAGTGTGCTGTAGCCTTATACCAGCAAGTCTGATTTAAGAGGCATACCAGTCCATCATCTTTGTAAATTAGAATATTAACCACCTAACAACTTTCCTTCAGTGTGCTGATTAATCACAAGTATATTTGCCTTGTCAAGGATGGTTACATTTCTAAAGGCGGAGTTTTCACTGCCTTTCTCCTTGTCTATTTTTCAGATCTTAGTTCATTAATTACTAGACCTTTCACATTCCGATTCATGTAGGAGTTAAACTTTACATGTTTCCTTATGAGAATTCATAAAATTCGTCATCAATCCACGACCTCAGAAACTGGCCACGCCCTTAATCTCACAGCAGAGCTCATGGGGACAAGTCCTAACACACTGGATGAATAAAATGAAGCTCTGAAATCTGACTGGGTAAGTAGCTAATCAGAAGCTAACTCGTCATCCCCTATTTTGTCAAAATTCTATGCTGTACTAAGCAGTGTTATTTTAAAACTCTATGAAGACTCCTGGCCAAACATGAAGCCAGCTTGGCAAGCATAAAAACAACAAGCATGAGGCTAAAAGAACACTGAGCAGTCCCTAAAAGGCTCTACTGCATACAGCTGCCATGCAATTTTTGGTTAATTCTTGCTACTGTCAGAGAAGCAGATTATACCATTTTTAGACTGAACAGCTCCTCTACTGGCCTGATCTTCCCAGTGTAAACCTCAGTGTTACAGATGCAGGGAAGAGAAAAATATCTCAACAACATGACAAACCAGTAGAACACCCTTTGCTCTCTACCCTAAACGTTCCATATAATTTCAGTAACATACTGTGCTTTCATAGACTGAATGTAGCCAGAAAGCCATTGAATTCATAGCTAATAACAACAAGGATGAGACACAAAAATGGAGGATGGGAGGAAAACAGGTTAAATAATAAAATAATTTCTAAGGAGTTCAAACCAGGACAACCAACTTCCTTAACATTAATATTTGTCTATATTTGCAGCATTTAAGAACAAGGATAATGTTCATGACTTAAAATCAGTGTTGCATAGCCAAAGCTGCCCTGTAACACTGAGTTAACCCCGACAGCCCCCTCTGCAATGGAGAGACCACAGCTAACCTGTATGCACTCTGCAATGGGCTTTAAGATGGGAGGATTTTCCATAGACTTTGCCACATCCACTGTATGGACACTTGTGTCTCTTTTCAGTGGCTAGTTTCCCCTTTGCAGGCACTCCACTGTGGAGGAGAGAGAGAGAGCTGGGCACACTGCCAGAATCCTGTCTTTCCACTGGGCTGTGGGAAGGACTCGACCCAGATTCAGTGGTCACGTCGCTGTCTGATCCTACATCCTCATCTGGACTTTCTACACTGTCACTGCAGATGGAAGGGGTTGGGAGGGGTCTGTACTTGTTCAGGTCCAACAAGCTTTTCGCAATTGTGACCAATGTGCAATAATCCTTCCAGGCATCCCTGGGGTCATTCAGGTCCCTGGTCACTTCTTCATCGGGCATTTTCAGTAGCTCTGCATCCTGAGCCCCCTGTTCCTGTACCACAGAGCGATTGGAAATGGAAACCAGACACTGAGCAGCAACAAAATCCATGTAGGCAACTGCTGACATTCTGCAGACGAGTAACCACCAAAGAGGAGAACCAAAATCCAGGCACCGAAACTTCTCTGTCGTACCCCCCGGGGTTTTTAATCAGCGCACTGGTGCCTTCAGCCTGCAAGATCAGTAGCGAGGGGGTGGGGCGGTATGCGTTAGTATCCAAGCAAGGAGTCGAACTCAGCCACTCATCTTTATATAACAATCCATGACTCCAAAGGCAGCATCCACAATCTGGTGCTACACTAGGGCTTCTTGCACTCCTAGACCCCTTACCCGTGATCACCAGAAACTCCAGATTTCAATTCACTCCCAATGACAAGCACATTGACGGGCTATAATAAGGCTCTCTCTTGGAAATACTGTCACTAGTGGTAATTTCAAGTAATCCAGCGTTTTAAAAGGACCCAAGGTGTGTCCCCCCGCCCCCCAAAAAAATAATCGCAGGAGGAGCTTTGGAAATGCACCCAGCCGCTTTGCCTTCGTTAGAATTCCCTGCACATTCACCCACTCATCAAGACGCTCTGTTGAAATAGCAGACAAAGCTCCAGGTCTACAAGACACTTGCCCCCCCTCTGCCCACTGCCTGATTCACTCCCCCCTCGCCTGCCGCTCCTCACTGTTCCGGCATGCTCTTGCTCAGTAACAATTTCGCAGAATCCCATCACGTAAGGTTCCAAGCCCCCCACCAATTGGTCAGCGGGGAGGGTGATTCAACTCTGTTTACCTTCTCCCCCTTCCAGTCAGAAGAGCCTCTTTGCATGAGAGGTGTGTCTATAAACGAGGAGCCCGGCCAATCCTAATATTCCCTCCCAATGCCTCGTGCTACTCCGGGAGTCTGAGTGCTGCGATTTAAAAGGGCGATGCAGGAGGACTCTGAAATAAATATATAATCGTAATCACTTATTACTGAGCTCCAGCCTGAATAAAACTCTCTTTAGCGAGCTCCTTCTGACTTCAGCTTAATCTCGCAGGGTGCCGTACACTGCTGCTTTCCGAATGGACTAAATCCCTTTCCTTGTGGTTTAGCCATAGCCCTCTCTGCCTAGCAGGTTTCCAAGTTTGGCTTTCCAGCACTTATCGGGTTAACTGCCTAGCTGGAAGTCCTACAGTCCCAGCAACCAGCTGGCCAATCGAAAGTAAGTTGGCTGATGTCACTAACATTGGCTTAGCCAATCAGAAAGAAATTCCAAACAGGGCTCAACACTTGTAAACCTAGAGAGCTGGAGTGGGAGACCCGACCGAGAGTGTGCTGTCGTAGGAGTTTAGACTGCAGACGTAAAGGGGTGAAAATAATTGTAAAGTCACTGACCTGCAGCCACCTCTCCACCCCAGTTAAAAACCCATAAGTTCCATTCCAGGGCGGGTTGTTGTTTTTTAAACCAGGGCAGGAGTCTGCTGGATTTCTGATATGCTTAAAAACGTCCAGGATCAGAAACCCTAAATATTAGTATCATTTGATTTTACAGAGCCCAACGGTCTAACAGCCATATACAGAAAATGACATGATCCCTGTACGAAGGAACGTAAAAACTAATTTCAGATAGGAAACAAATAGTGAGGCAACAAGTTAATGGTAAGGGGTGCTGGGGGAAGGAGAGGGCAAAGGTCAATAATGTACAATTACTCAAGGAAGGAGAAACACGGCATGATCCAGTGAATGAATGCGTGGCTAGTCTCTTTTGGACTCAGGGGAAGAAATGAGACTTTAGAAATAGTTCTTGGCCTCCTTTAATAAGAGGGGTCACCCTTTAAAATATGCTAATTTTGTCTTAGGTAAGTTACTTCAGTGTGCACCGTATTATGTAAACTTCCCTATACATACTATAGGGAGTACCTAAAATACAGCAAATAAGGGATAAAGTTATCTAAGGCACCTAACAAGTTTCTAAGGGTGCCCACTGTATCCAAGGAATGGTGTCAGTGATGAAATCTCTTATGGATGTTGAAAAATCCATTTTAATCCATTTAAAATGCTTACAGTTTATTTGCTGCTATTAGAGATATTATATGGTCTCCCTTCATAGACAAGCCTAATAAAAGTTTAGTATTAAAGCTACTTATTTCAGCTGTTTCTTTTTCAACATCTTTTAATTCCCTTCAAAGACTTATGTATTTTTAATTAAACAAGTGAAATATAACCTGACAAAATAAATAGATCATATCTCCTCCCAACAAAAAATAACAAAGTTATTTGACAAGTAAGTACTGTACATGTTTATATATATATTTTTTAGACTGGTTCATCCAAACTGTAGCCTGAGATGTCTCCTTGACTGAGTGCTCTGAGCAATTTTCCATCTTTGCCTGGAAAATCAGCCATGCTGGAGCCAGTCTTTTTCACCCTGGGCAGATAGTATCAAATCAAGAGGTGAATGAATCTGCTACCATAGTTGGGTTTGACCACATATCATCTTTTGATGTAGAGACGGTTTATCAAGGTGATGGTGGTGGTTGTTGCAGAGATCAATGCTCATTAGGGCTTGTGAAAGTTATATTCCCTTGGGTGGGATTTATTAACAATGTCCTCTTCATGGAGGTGATGGTGCAAATCTGATACACAGCTAAAATATTACCAATTAACCTTTAACTGAGATTTAACTTAATTGAGAACCTATCCAATCATTGTCTGGTCTCTAGCTATCCATCCATCCATCTCTCCATGTATGAGTTTACACTACACGCCTCATCATAATGTTTGACTGTCTTTTTGGTATCTGAACAACTTGATAAACCATTGGTGACTGAACAAAACCAGGGTCATCTGCACAGCACAATATGGGATACAGCATAGAGATAATGCTGGTCTTCTCCGTGTGATTGTGATACTTGTTGCCATACAGTTTGATATATCACCTGCTTTTACTACTATTATTGAGAATGTTTACTTTTTAATTTATAAAACATGTTTATCATTTGTCTGTAAGCACATGTAAATATACTTTGTTGTGAATACAAAACACAATTAGCAACCAGAGCCAATGTCTGTTAGAGGCCCACCCCCCCCAAAAAAACTAATTTAAATAAAATAAAATAAAATAAAATCCTGTGTACTCCTTTCCAAGGTACATATCCTTCTTCTCCAACTCACCCCATCAGGCAAAAGCCTGAGCAAACAGATAGTCCTTTCAGCATACCCTGAAGGTTAGCTAGCTTGGGCTGTCTCAGACTAGAAGGTATGATTTCTTTCTAGAGAACAACCTGTCATCAGTTCCTAACATGTACATTTGTGGTAAGATAGCTGGTGTACCCCATGGTGAGTTAAATATCAGGGGAAAACATAAGGAGAAAGAAGAAGTCTCTGAAATATCTATCAAGGTACTTATATAGCTTCTATATGACCAAGTACACCGACCCCACACTGACCAAAAAAGGGTTAATGAGAGTCTGTGGGCCCAATCAGCCCCACTCTGTTACACCTGTGAAAGGTATAAAACCTGGAGGGAGCAGGTAAAAGAGGAAAAGCCCAACTTAGTAATGGCTGGATGTAAGGGGGAGTAGAGCTCTTGAGTAAACCCTGTTAAGGAAAGTAGGCCTGGGGCCAGAGCCTAACTAGTAACTGCTTGGAAGGAAGGAAGGAAGAAGGACCAGTGGGGGCTAGAGCCTAATTAGACACGCCTTACATACAAAAGTAGGGCTGGTATAGAATGTTACTTTTGTTGTACAACTAATTTGGATCTCCTCTCTTTTAGGACCTGCAGATGAGTCAGCTGGGGAAGAGGCAGTGAGAAATGCTTCACTCCAGGCCATGGGCAGAAGCAGCCTTGGGATGTAGCACAGGGTCTGGACAAACAGACCTCATCTGCTTCATACAGAGTCCCTGGTCTGGAACCCAGAGAACAGGATGGCTCTAGGTTCCTCTACTAGCCCATCTAGGGTTGGGATGTGAAAACCCTGGTGCTAAGAGCTGGAAGGCCCAAAAGCCAGAAGTTGAGTTGAACCTCTGGTGTGATGGTGCCAGGTCATTGGCATGTTGGACTCAGATTTCCCTGGAAGGGGCAGGACTAAGTGACTTGGGCTGGAGGGCCAACTCACAGGAAGAGATTGATCACTGCAATTCCAGAGTGGCTGTTGGCAGAGAGCACCAAAGGAGGGAAGCTGTTGCTGTGCCTAGACATGAGGGGGGGTGTCTGTGGTGAGTAGGCTTTTCCACACACCCCTTCAATGTAGTATCTGATAACCATGTGAAACAGGGAAGTTTTATCATTTTATCAATGGGAAACTGAGATTGAGTTATGTGCCCATGGTTAAACAAAAAGTCTGTGACCAACTCCCAGTGAAATAAAGACAAGTTATGTATCTAAATACTTGAGAATCCAGGCCTGAACCTCAGTTTCCTAAATCCTAGTCCAGTGCCTCAACTATAGACCATCCTTATTCCTTAAAATGACAGTACCCAAACCATAAAGGGCTTTATAGATTAAAAGCAATCCCTTTAACTGAGCCTGGAAATAATTGGGAAGTCAGCACAGAGGAAGAAACATTGCTGCTATCTCTGTGCAAGAAACACCATTAAGTAAATAGAAGCCATGTTCTATACTAGCTGAATAAATCTTCAGGTGTGGCCCTAGATAAAGGTATGGCTAACTCTCTCATGAGAGCTGCATTCTTCTAGCCAAACATAACTGGAGGGGAAAAAAAACCACTGATTACTACAGCTGTTATTGGATCATTTAAAGGCAGATGAGGATCAAAGGAGTTACCTGGATATTGAAATTTACCTATCAAGGGGATGAATATCAATTTTACCATGTAATCAGGGTTTTTTCCCCTAAGACAGCTACTCTTGCTTCAGTCAATCTCTAGTGTTTACTAGACATACACCCACATGCCCAAAATGTAATTCAGCCAGAGCCCTTGCAAATCAGAGCCTGCTGCCTCTACAGTTGGTGAGAGGTGAAATAGTTAATGTTAACATATACATTATTATTTAAAGGAAGGGGCTCTTAGAGCTATTGTTTCAGGTGTTCTGCAGACTTGGGAAGATGACTGCATTAATTTATATTCTGTTCACAGATGGAAGGAGTCTTCACAAGCATAAGGACTAGTGCAAATGGGGGTATATACCCCCATCCTAGCTCAGCAAGGGTTAAGGTGGTTTAATTGGCCTCAAGCCCCCCTGGCTGCACCTGGAGAGTGGACCAGCTCCACTTAATTATGAGTTTCAGCTGGGAGGCTGCTGCAACAGCAGAAAGTCTGCAGCAGAAGGGGACTGGAGGGAGAGAAGGCAATACTTTACATCATGGTGATGGCAGTAGGGGAGAGAGAGTATGCACAAGAGTGAGCATGCGTGCATGCTGGGGGAGCAGGAAGGGTCCTGTAGGTGTGGAGGAAGCCTATAAAGAGAATACCTAGAAGCCTCGGGATTGGAACAGGCTCCTGTGGCTGACCCTGACATGTTGATAAGAACTGCACTTCCAGGGAGAAGCCTGGGGAAGTGTTGCTTGTTACAAAGGACCCAGGAAATGGCTGAGGAAAAGGCCTGAAGAAAGGCTAATAGTAGGAAAGAGTTCAGAGAGGCAGCTGCAAGGTGTCTGACAGGGCAGACCTTGTCTGCTTGTTTGAGGGTCCCTGGACTGGAACCCAGTATAGAGGGTGGGCCTTGGTTCCCCTACCAGCCACTGGGAAAGTGGTGTAAAGCTCCCCTGACATAA